GGGGACCCGCTTACACCCGGGTGGGCGGCGGATGAAGGCGGCGAGAGGTTGAGGGTCGAGGATGAGGAGGTCAGGGGGAGGTTTCCAAGGATTCCGTCGATGCCGGTGTCGTTGTCGGTGTCGAGAGAGATTTTGAGGGGGTTTGGTGGGCCCCCGGTGCCGGAGGAGTGGAGGGGGGAGGTTTTGGGTGAGTGGGGTGGAGTTGGAGGAGGCCCATCTCTTTTGAACTTTACATATCAGGTAAATTTTGCCATATTCTGTAAGCTATTCAGTTGTAGTATTAGGTGAGAGTTAGTTAGTTTTCTATTTGAACTGATGACTCCCGCCAATTTGGTGGGTTTATGGAGATTGGGTAGTAATTTGAGTCCTTCAGCTTATGCATTTATGTTATTGACTTTGGGTATAGAGCGCCTTTGAACTTTCATAAGAAGTCAATATTTTCTGCTGTCCATACTTTGCCAAAGGCAGGAGTTTGGATTTGATGACATCCTCATTGTCTATGAGTTGGCTATGACCCGCGTGGTGGGGCCTACTTATTGGAGGCATTTTGTGAGTTCATTCTCCTTGCATGTCGAACTCAAAGATTTGAGCTTTTCGATTTCAATGATTGTTGTCGGGATGCTCGTTTGTTTACTGGGAGGAAAGGACGACGACCCCTCTATGGTGTGCATAATTGCACGGTGGATCACATTATGTTGCAAGTCTAAACTGACCAAACTAACTTACTGGTTGAATTTATTGAGTCAAGTCAAATTGAGCTTGTCATTTGCCTCATCTTGAAAAATTTAGTAAACTAGCTGTTTGATGTGAGAAGGTAATTATTGACTAGAGTTTTTAGCATCAGTAAAGACCAAGTTCATATCCTGGGCCTTGCTCGAAGTTGCTTTGAAAGTATTGCGGAGAGCTTAGATAGGCCATCCATGGAACTCCTTATGCAGACGAGCCCCAATTTTGTGGGCCTAGAAACGTCTGATTGTTGCTAATACTTTGCTACTTCTAAAGTTTGTTAGACATCTAAGGTTCATACCATAGGTAGATTCAATGGATCCATAGTCCAGCTGCATTGCACTCAGCACACTTGCATGCTGACTTTCCTCTGTAGTAATAACAATCTCAGTACTCAACCAAGTCTCTTTTTTTATTAAATATGCTCTAACTTTGGTTTGACTGAAAATGAGAGAAGTTTATGGTGTTTCTTTCTTTTCTTTTTTCTTTTTAAGGAAGATAGAAGGCTGGCGACGATCCAAAATGTTTTTGGAGTGATAAGAGGGCGAGAGGAGCCTGATCGATATGTTATCCTTGGCAACCACAGAGATGCATGGACATATGGTGCTGTGGACCCAAATAGCGGGACAGCTGCTCTACTTGACATTGCTCACCGTTATGGTGTTCTATTGCGCTCAGGTTGGAGACCTCGAAGGACCATTATTCTCTGTAGTTGGGATGCAGAGGAGTTCGGCATGGTAAGTAGTTCATTTAACTGTGAAGCGTGACCATTTTGGAGGCAGGATGTTTAGTTTTCTTGTGTTTGAGGATATAAGTAGGCCTGTCTATCTGTATGTACCGTGTAGTTAGGAAGTAGAGGAACTCATAATAATTGCATAATGAGTGATGGGAAAGAATGATAAAGAGGTTATTTTATTTTATTTTCTTTTATTTTTTATTATATATGTATATATGTATATATATATTTTTTTGGGGAGGGGGGAGGGTGGGGTGGGGTAGTGCAATAAAATTCTTTTTATTGTTTGTTTTTTTTGGTTGATTGGGTGAATATAGTGGCTCTAAGTTATATTTCACCCCATAGGTAGATTCAATGGATTCAAGCACAGTGATCATCACAGATCAAACAACAATTCTTTTTCTTGAAGAAGGAATAAGGTTTGAGTGCATTTTGATTTCATTCTATCCGTGTGCATATCCAAACGTAGACCTGAAAATCTCATTCTATTGTGATTAGTGGTTGAAGAGTTTCTACTTGAAAATATGGGGTTTGTAGTTTGCCACTATTCCTATTTTTCAATTTGATGGAGTGCATGTCTTCTTTGGCCGTTGGAAGTAATTCAGTGTATTAAAAATATGAAGCGGCCTTCCCTAGTTTTAACCTTGGTTTGGGGTTCCAGAATGAGGGTTTGCCTTTATGGGCAACTTCAATACTAATCTTAAATAAAAAAACCATGTCCATTTGACGCTGGAGTTTATATTTTTCAGATTGGATCTACCGAGTGGGCTGAGCAGAATCTTGGAATTCTTGGCACAAATGCAATAGCCTATCTAAATGTCGATTGTGCAGTACAAGGATCTGGTTTTTTTGCCGATGCTACTCCACAACTAGACAAGCTCTTGATTGAAATAACTAAGGAGGTAAAAAGAACTCAACAGTTTTAGTGTCTTTTTTCTCTATTATGACTTTGTCTGGTAGTGTTCTAATATTAGTTACTCTTTCATAGTTTCATGTCAAAAACACGAAGGCAGTTTAAAAGAGAGAAAGAAATCAAAGTTTTAATTATTTACAGGATTGACGATCATTTGAATTAAATGTGACAGTTTAGATGACACCAAGAGATGTGTTCACTTAGACTATTCATTAACGTTAGTTACTCTAGGTCAACCTACATTTGGAGTATCAACATGTAGCAGTCATATGGTAGTTTTGATGTTCAGTTTTAGCACTGATACCTACTTGATTAGGTTTCCCTTCTTGCTTCTCAACATTCTTTAAGTTAAGACATTGGATTTCTTTTTTATTTTTTTGAAATCTTAGCAAATGATGTTGGTTGGTATTTCAGATCAAGGATCCAGATGTTGAAGGGATGACCGTGTACCAAACATGGGCTGCAGCAAATGGAGGTATCAGCGTAAGATGTTTTATTTTTGAATGCTGCTAATTGGTTATACAAAGAATAATTAATTTATTGGATCAATGTCTTCATGCTCAAGGGTAAAAACAAAGATAGTGATGAAATGCCATAAACCCATGTTCTATTTTAGATTTTTCTAAGGTTAATGGCGGTCAGAGAAAATTCCCTGGAAATTTAATCCAATTTTAACACACGCACAAACACATGAAAAATAATAAGTAGATGACAGGCTTTTTTAGATATAGCCCTGAAATAGTCCTTATTCTGATATTTCCTCAAATATTTAATATTCTATTATATAACCCCCTTAAATCTCTTAGTTACCCTTTAGCGTCACACACACAAACACGTCAAAAGAAAAGTTGACGAAAACATCAAAAACTTACTTAGCTTGATTTTCTCCCCCTCAAATATTAATATTCCTTAAGTCCTAGATATCTCAAGTATGCCCCCTGCCGGTTAGATGGCTGTTAAAATTGACAGCCAGCAGACACAATGAGTAAATGCCCTCCCTACCTTTGACTTAAAGTCAACATGACAACCTTTGCTTGGCTGGGGCGTCTACATGCCTGTCCTTTGACTCTTTTCCAAGAAATACTGCCCCTTCTTCTCTGAGGTCTCCTGAACTCTGTATCATACTAGACCACACCCAATTCGTCCCCTCCTCAATGTCCGTCCCCATCTCTTTTGAATATGATCAATTTATAGAAAGAAAAATAGAGCATCAGTATCAACTATCAAGGATGCCAAGGTCATGAATTCAAGAAGCCTTCGGACTCACAGTTGTTGCTATTCACACCACCTCATCTGCTTTTGCATCAAGTGCTTCACAGAGAACCTTCTTTTTGTATTTCAACTTCAACTACACAATCTCCCCCATGATTCTCTCTCCCTCTTGCCTGACCCCTTCATTCTTGTCATTTGTTGGGCCGATTTGAAATTTGAAGCTTGGCTAAATAGTAATGTTAAGGATTGGAGGTGAAATATCTAAGTTTGAAGGATTTTGCAAGGGTTATATTTAAAAAATACAAAAGGAAAAAAAATAAAAATAAACCCACCGACTACCCTCTCACCCCTCAAAACACACACACACACACAGTGCAAAACGATAACCACCACCTCATGCGGTAAAACTTTACATGGGAGATCATGCTTTTTAGCAAGATGACAATTCCATGCTTCAAAGTTTCAAAAAAATTCCCTTAGTTATTCATGAGTTCGTTTTCCCTATTTGCTAGTTGGAAGTCTAATGATATCATGCTATGTCATTATTTTGTCCTGTTTTAGCACCCTTTTCTGTGCATTTGTGCTTACTGATGTAAAGTTCACTTATGTTTCTTTCATTGGCTACTGCAGATTGAAAGACTTGCCAGAGCTAATTCTGATTTTTCAGCATTTCTACATCATCTTGGAGTACCTTCTCTAGATCTATATTATGGTAAAGGTATGTTTTGTCACAAGTAAAAGTAAAGCTCGTTGATTGATTCGTTGACTGTTTTTGGCAATTTTTATATAAAAATGTGTAAAGGAATATGTTAATTGAGTATGAAAGGACCGTTTCACCTTACTAAACACATCATGTTGAATGTGACATACTGCTATATTACTATGATAGGGATACCACTTGTACCACTCAATGAGCTTAAAACTGGTCTTGATTTCCAGCAATATAACCCCCTAAATATGTGTTAGACTACATATTTCGGAGTTTGCTTCTGAAATTAAATACTCTTGCGCCTGTAAGAATATGGTGATTCTGAAGATACAAATAATCATCTCCTTGGCCATCAACTATAGGAAGCTTGTTCTTGCTGCGATTCTAAGACCCTGCCCTTTGTATGCTCCACCTAGATGCTTCCAATTTTGTCATCTTGCCAAAAATAGATATGTGTAAACAGCTTCTGGATAAATGCACAAGTCAACTTATTGTTAGAAGGATTTCTTTAAATAATATAATAGGTTTTAAATATTGGTTGTCGGGGATTTATCGGACGGTCAAAATCCATATCGGATAGCGGATATCGGGGATATATCGGGGGTAAGTAGTATTTATCATGGTGATATTACTAGATAGTGTATATACATATTATAATATCCTAAAATAATATCCTAAAATGTAATCTAACCATACTTAATGAAATATAAACATACCAAAATGTATTTAGTCATGTTTTAGGATCACTAACCAATGGTAGAAACTTGCTTCTTGAACGCACGATGAAATCATTCGAGTGCATAGTTAGTAAAAATGGAATAACATACAAGCAAATAACAAGATAACATAAAGAATGAAGAATCATCAACATAATTATTGTATAATCATAAGATTATAAACTAACTTTCTAAGTTGAGATTTAATAGTTATGAGCCATGTCAATATTCATAAACAAACATAAGCTAATCACCAAACAACCAAGTACCAAAAGCAACAAATAGTTTATAATTCTTGAACATCCAAAGAGCAAACCCAAACCTAAACAAAAGGTCAATAATTTTGATATTTTGAGCTGACAATATCGGCCGATAACTCACTTTATCGCCACATTATCGCCGATAAACATCCAAAAATGATAACCAATTTAAAATCAAACTTATAATGGCGGAAGGCCCCCAAAACCGATAAATCGCCGATAATATCGGTTTATCGGCTGATATTTAAAACACTTAGCTTCCAAGTACACTGGGAATATATACTATTCCAGACAATTACATAGTGTTCATGAGAAGGATGCCCATGAAACAGTTGCATAATCTTCTAGACTTGATAATAACTTCCAGTTTAGAGTCGGCTGCTCCTTTTGTCTTGTCTCATGCAGTCATGCATTGAAGCAATGCTCGGATGGAACTTGCTTCTTTGTGTTTTCCACTGTATTTGAGTTGATTTTGGCCTCTTCTGCTGTAGAATTAATTATTCTGAATCTGAACTAAACTGAAACCTCCCTCCAGTCTCACGTCCTTGACACAAAGGATTTTTTTCTGGATTTTTCATTCTCCCCTTTTTACTTTTCCTTTATAATGTATTAAACTACTAATACCCCTTGGTACGAACTATTTTCCCTTTTTAATATTTCTTAGCAGTCACAGATGTCAAATATTAACTTTAGAATTTTCTTTCAGAGTTTGCAGGCTACCATACTGCATTTGATTCCTTTGACTGGATGGAGAATCATGGTGATCCATTATTTCATCGCCATGTGGCCAGTAAGTTTCTATGTTGGTAGATTTATTATGTAGCTGAGCTTGAAAGGGAGGTTCCAACTTATTACTGATCGACTCAACTCCTCTCCCTGGTTTTCTTTGTTTCTTGTTAGAAAAAGCATAAGACTTGTGCACAGATCTTTCTAATTTCTATTATTATCAGGATGCAACATCTTGTTTCCAACTAGGTTGCAGCAGGAAACGGTTAAATGAATGGTCTAATTGTTTGAAATTCATAATTCCAGGAGATTATAGAGTAATTACTATCAGAAATAGATCAGTCTGAATCTAGTGCAATTACATACATGCCACCATTGGTTTTGATTTTTTTTCAATTCGAGATAAAAATGGCTCAAAAAAGCTAGTAATTATGAGGATAGTTATCTTATTTTCATTCTATTGTACCCTGAATTGGGGTTTTTGGTGTAATTCAATACAGTAGGTGGTCATTCATTTGATGACCAAAAATCTAAAAGCTTATTCATGCTCCAGTTTCGTGGTTGATGTTTTATACTGACTTGATTTTTTTTTCCCTTCAGTTGCTGAAATTTGGGGACTTTTTGCCCTTCATCTAGCTGATGATCTTCTCCTACCTTTTGATTATCTCACTTATGCCACTCAGTTGCAGGTATAACAAAGCATCTTGAGATCTATAATTTGTTGCTTAAATGACGCACATGCATTTTTGTTGGTTTCTATCGAACACAAGCTGCTTTACTGTAAGATTATTCAAAGTCGGGTCTATGAGCCATTCTCTTGCAGTATTAAAAAACAACTATGTTTAAGTTGGTCATATTAATGTATTTGAAAGTTTCCGTTATTCACTAATATTCACTAATGAATCAATGGCTTCACCTTCCTCAGAAATAAGGTCCCATGCTTCTTACAATTTCAGTGCAAGGCTGGTAATTGTTTGGTTGATATTTGTTTTAAACCAAGAGGAATTATCTGCTATCTTACTTTTGCTTGGTTATTGTCAGATGTAAACTATATTGGTGTATGTGTGTATCACAAGGCTGCACCGTTGGGATATACATATGTTTTTTGTCATCCTTTATGATATAGTAAATTTACCAATTCATGAAATATAATGTATACTGTATGTGCAGTATCCACATCATAATACATTACATGTGGGCAATACTGGAACTCACCTATACATCATTACATTGATTTCGGCATACTTTCATCATGGAATAGCTCATGGGCTATGAATCTAAATGTCTCAAAACTCAAAAAGGTTTTTATATCAAGATAAATGGGGACTTGTTTTGCTTATCAATATTGCTTCAGGGTTGCAGATTTAAAAGATGGCTTAATTTCACAAACATCAGGTGTCTATGGGGATATCATCAGGCAAATTTATTACTATTTCAGATGGAATGTTGGGGTTAGAATTGAGTAAGCTGAATAAAAAATCCTCCACTCTGGTCCACCAAAAATAGTATACATATCAGACATCACTGGCTCTTCCACATAGAGTCGACACATAGGCTCGAGATATCCAAAATATGCAGGGAGATTCTGTTCATGTGAATTTCTCTATATTCCAAATCAAAACTATCACTATCCCAAAAAAGGAAGAATCATTAATGGTATTGGATGGTATAGTGTGTGGTTCGAACACCACATGCAATTCTACTCATATACTTGTTTGCATACAAGGATGTTTTTAATTGAAAGTCAAGGATCTTGATGTTGCCCCCTCATGGGTCATTTGGTCTACAAGCCATTTTAGTGCCAAGTCAAATTGCCATTGTGTTCTCATCAAGCAATGAAAATGGATATCTTCAAAGACAGAGAAAAGACAAAAAAGCCAAAAATACCATATAATATTCTAATAAATTTGTGTGAAATATCTTCGTATGACTTGTGCGTTAGCTGAAGAATTTAAACATCTAATATTTGCTGTTGAAAATTTAAACTTGAAGGGACAAATTGGATCATCAATTAAGTTCAGAATGTCAATTTATAGGATGCTCTCCTTCTTCCAGTTGTGTCTAATGCCTTCTATTATTTTCTTGCAGAGCCACACAAATACATTGATGGAATTGCTAGATAGAGGAATATCTTTACAACCTATAGTTGCATCTATTGATGAATTCACTGCTGCGGCCAATGAATCTGTAGAAGAAGCAAAGGTTTGATGCAAGCTTTAGAAATTGACTAATACATTATTTTATTTTTTTTAAGGAGTAACCTCACAAAGTTAATGATATTATATTAAGTTATAAATTGTGGCTGGGTCAATGAGTCTCAAGGTGGAATATTATCAGGTAGTAAATGCTGAAAATATAGTAGCTATCATGACCCGAAAAAATGAACACAAACTTTCAAAATGGGGTCCTCACTATTCCTACGATCTCGTTGGCATCTAATCAATTGTGATGCCAGAAAGGCTATGGTGAAGAATCACCACTGTCCATATCATTTAGTTTGCTCATTTTTTTCATTAAAATGATTTATAATTTTTTTTATGTTGAGGAAAGTGCAGCTCATCAGGAATGCAGATTGCATATATTTCACATTTGGTTATAGCTTCTGTCGTACATTTTTTGAATGTATTAAAGCAATCATGTAATAGGATATTAGAGATAGTCTCCTGGATGTTAATTTTATTCTAGCACCTGTCGTCGAATTCCTATTAGCATTTTCCATAAGCATTACATTTTTGGTGGAACAACCTGCAGAAAATTGAAGAGCAAGAATCAGAAGAATATCTTCCACGACTTAGACAGCGAACTTTCAACGATCGCCTTATGCTTGCAGAGAGAGGCTTCTTGGAAGCAGAGGGACTTCTAGGGAGACAGTGGTTTAAGCATCTGGTAAGCATTGAATTACATTATTTAGAGTGATCATAGGCGATGAGATAAGAATATATGCCCCTGTGTATATGCTTTTCATACAAATTATCTTATCCAGCTGGTATTATATTACTCCTTGTAACCTATTGAGAATACACATAAAACATGTATAATAACCTTGTATATTACACCATAGGAACATCCATTTTCTTTCTAACTAATCGATTCCGGGTCTTGCCTTGTATGATTTTTCTGTCATCACTATAACTTTCTATAAGCTAACAAAGAAGAACAAGTTACAATGAAATATGTACCTTCGTTGCATTTTTTTAAAGAATTTTGAATGCGAAAAAATATATTCTACTGTATTTGACACGTCTATTGCATACTGACATTTGTTATGGCATACAGTTATATTCACCTCCTGAAGATTATGAGAGCAAGCTCTCTTTCTTTCCTGGTATAGCTGATGCCATTTCTAGAGCTGAGAAAATAGGAACAAGAGAAGCACAATTGCAGGTCCAACATGAGATATGGAGAGTTGCTAGGGTAATTCAAAGGGCTGCAGGTATTCTTCGTGGAGAATTAACATGAATGAGCAAATCTTTATTTGTACATGAAACCAGTGGAAAATCTACATTGCATACTAAATTTGTGCCGTTTATATTTATATTTCCTTATCATTTTCGCTTGATATGCTGATGATCGATATGGGCTTGAGGTGTATGACTAATATACGCGACCGTGTCATTGTCAAGAATGATTGGTTTATGTCAAAATATTGAAATAGATAGTTCAGTCAATCAAAAGCTATTCATTTCCTCACGTATTTTTACTATACTGGGAAGCACAGAGACATTGCTTTCAGAGTACTAGAGAGATGAATCATCGCGCTAAGATCCATCCAATTTGCTTTTAGAGTTTTTTCCATCCTGTTTTTTCGGAAAGATTGTTAAAGTGGCAAAACACGTAGTTATTGGACAGTGAGGTCATCAACAAATTTTATTAACTAATTTTGTCTCTTCTCAAAAGAAAGAAAATTCTTCTCTTGGCCTGTTTGGATGGAGTGTAGAGAGGGGGAAGAGAAGAGAAATTTTATTTTAATCTTGTTTGAAAGTTTTATTTAGGAGGGTAAAGAAGGGGAATGGAGGGGAAATTTGACCAAAATTTTTACACCCCAAATTGGGATGTAATGGAGGGGAAGGGAAGGAAGAAGAATTTTTTTCTCTTCCTTCCCTTTCCTAAGTAAACTTCCAAACACACCATTAAAAGAAAATTAATATTTTTCAAACAAGTACATAATTATACAACAAGAGGAGATCGTTCATGTTAAGACAAAGATAAATTTTCTAACAAACCAAAATTATTTGAAATGCTTAAGTGAAACACAAGAATGAAATTATAAAACAACGTAAAGGAAAATAAATAAAAAAATAATATCGCGCGCCAGATAGGGGTCGAACCTATGACCTTCCGCTTAGGAAACGGACGCTCTATCCACTGAGCTACAGGCGCTTTGACGGTTAGGTAAGCCAACTTCCCAGTAATATTCACATAAACAACCGTCATTAAAATGGAGTTTTTACTCAAAAGAGGTCTTTTTTGCTAAATAATTAGCAAAACCGACCGTTTTGCTAATTACTAGTTGAGATGCACGTGAAATGCACGTGGACGAATATCATGATTATTTAATTGATAAAAATAGAAATAAAAGCAAAAAATAATATAAAGTTTTTTTACGGGATTGATCATCAACTCAATAATCTCTCCTTTAAATGAAATATTGTCATTGTTTCCTTCAACTCAGGTTGTCACCACATGATCTACTATTTGTAAGTTATAAACACATTGATCTAGTACAACATCTCTGTTTATTAGTATCTTGAAGCCTTCAAAAGATGAGAGATCATTCAATTCGCAAAGGAAATTTGCATATGAATTTACTTGCAATATGTCCATTAAAACTTTTAGTTGTGGTTTGACTCATATTTACATTAACTTTTAGTTGCGGTTTCACTCATATTTACATTATCTAATATTCTCATTCAATTTTATAGCTCATTCTCCTTATCATAAAGTAAAATTGAAAGTAGGAAGGATTATTTTCTTGCGAAATTAGAGCAGAGAGATTATGAAATATTTCACCATGTGCTCTAAATATAAAAAATATTCTTTAATGCAAGGTCCCTATCAAATCTTCCCCTAAAACGATGTGAATGAAAATTGCTATTATAACTCACTTGCCTAGGGCAATCGTATTGTATATAGGACATATACAATAGTCTCATGTATTTTCTGGTTCTAACTGCAAAATACGCAAGAGTGGTAGTCTCGTGTATTTTCTGACCTTAAATATTTTGTAATTAATATTTGCTAATTACACAGGACTATTAGTCCCGTGTATTTTAAAGATAATTTTTTACAAAATCGACCTCTTTTTTGCTAGCCTTGATGATGTGGCAAAAAAGAGGTCAATTTTATTAATTATTATGTAAAACAGTCGATTTTGCTAATATTTTTAAAAAGTGATCTTTTTAAAAATTCTCCTAAAATAAACTGTTAATTCAAAACACGAAATGGGCAAAAAGACCTAAACATTCTGGTGATTAATTAACCCATAAATAGGGAAAATAATAATTAAAATAAAAATATATTTAAATTGAATCTAACAATACACTTCACAGCATGAAGCATGAAATGTATCCACGAAATTATTACAAAAGAATTAAAGAAACTAATTTTTAAAAAAATATGAGATCGAGGGATAGAGGGTGAGAAGACCTCACCAACATGAATTTTATTTCTCTCCAAACGTGATAGCGAAATTGGGGGAGAATGAGCGAGGAGAAAATTAAACAGAATTAATGACAAAGTGGGCGTGCTTATATAATTAGGTTATTAAGATATTCGTCTTGAAATCTTAAATACATACATATTAGTCCCTAACATCTTTGTAATTTCTCATTTACAATGATATTACTATTTAATATTAAATTAATTTTATTATATAAGATTATATGACCATTTTTAATAAATTATAAAAAATATATATAGAAACCTCAATGCTTATAGCTAGTAGTTGGGCTCCACAAAATATGTTAACTTTACATTATAGTGTTCTATTGGTAATATTGTTGATAATATCATTACATTTTCTCTTTATCTTATTATTCACGTTTTTCTAATGTAAGTCCTCTTTTGCTAATCACTCAATTGTCTATATTTAGTTTTTATAACATCAGAGGTTAGAATATTCTCTTCTGTTTAAAAAGTGTTGACATGATTTTCTAAAAAAATATACACACTTCAATGTGCACACTTAACTATATATGGAGTAATACATCTTAAGAATGGCTTACCCTAATACATCTTAAGAATGACATGCTCTTCAATGTCATCATTAGTTGACATATCTATGCATTACACTAAAAGCACAATGAAAATTTTAAAAATAACAAAAGAAACACCCTCAAAAGTTTTAAAAATTATAAAAAAAACACCCTAAAATTTTATAATTTATAAATACACAAAACTATTAAACATTACATTGAAATCAAGGAACTACAAAAAATCATTGAAATTTCTTAAACTTTGGAGGGGTAATTTGCAATTTACTAAACTTTAATCATGTTTTTTTTGTAAATTTTAAAATTAATAGATTTTCCATTAGTTATGTTTTTTTTTTAAGTTATGGGTAATATTGCCCATGAAAAGTTTTTGGGAAAAATGTGTCCAGGCCCCAAAAGCAGAATGTTCATGTGACCCGCCCCCTTGTATTTTGCCCCATGTGATTCAGCCCCAAAAAGTACCATTTAATATTTTAAGGCCCCTCCACGTCAGCAGTATAAAAAAAGAGATTGTATTTTGAAAAAAAACCCGAAATTACCCCTCCACTTATCTTCCCTAGACGTCTGGTCCACAAACTACATGGAAAGTCACGCCCATTAATGCAATCTGATGGAAAAAATAGAGGGAAATTTCCCGCTCTTTTTTGAACTCTATCATGAGCAATAACTCATGTTAGTTCTAAGTTATTTAATGTTAGTTCTAAGTTATTTAATGTTAGTTCTAACTTATTTTATGTTAGTTCTAATTTAGTTCTAATTCATGTTAGTTCTAATGTTAGTTCTAAGTTATTTAATGTTTGTTCTAACTTATTTTATGTTGTTCTATGTTAGTTCTAATTTAGTTCTTACTTATTTAATGTTAGTTCTACTTCCAGCTAGTGTTGGTTCTAATATAAGCGTTAGTTCCAGTGGCTATATTAGTTCTAGTTGAGCTCCTGTTAGGACTGACACGATACATGTTAGAATTGATACTGGAGAAGCTAGAACTAACACATCATCAAGTAGAAGTAATATGACATTTAGACCTAACAATTACGCTGGAACTAACGACTTAAATAAATTAGAACTAACACGATACCAGTTAGAACTAACACTAGAGAAGCTAGAACTAACACATCATTAAATAGAACTAACATGGCGTTTAGACCCAACAATTACGTAGAACTAATGACTTAAATAAATTACAACTAACACGATATCTGTTAGAACTAACACTAGAACTAACACATTAAATAAATTAAAACTAACACGAGCTGGTAAAAATTAGAACTAACCACATTAGTTCTAATTTATACAAAGTTAGTTCTATTTTATAACAAGTTAGTTCTAATTTTATACCATGTTAGTTCTAATTTTATGCCACGTTAGTTCTAATTTATGCCAAGTTAGTTCTAATTTATACAAGTTAGTTCTATTTTATAACAAGCTATCTCTAAATTATACAATGTTAATTCTATTCTGGAGCGTGTTAGTTCTAATCTATACCATGTTAGATCTATTCTGTAGCGTGTTAGTTCTAATCTGCACAGTGTTAGTTCTATTCTGTAGAGTGTTAGTTCTAATCTGCACAGTGTTAGTTCTATTCTGTAGAGTGTTAGTTCTAATCTGCACAGTGTTAGTTCTATTCTGTAGAGTGTTAGTTCTAATCTGCACAGTGTTAGTTCTATTCTGTAGAGTGTTAGTTCTAATCTGCACAGTGTTAGTTCTATTCTGTAGAGTGTTAGTTCTAATCTGCACAGTGTTAGTTCTATTCTGTAGAGTGTTAGTTCTAATCTGCACAGTGTTAGTTCTATTCTGTAGAGTGTTAGTTCTAATCTGCACAGTGTTAGTTCTATTCTGTAGAGTGTTAGTTCTAATCTGCACAGTGTTAGTTCTATTCTGTAGAGTGTTAGTTCTAATCTGCACAGTGTTAGTTCTATTCTGTAGAGTGTTAGTTCTAATCTGCACAGTGTTAGTTCTATTCTGTAGAGTGTTAGTTCTAATCTGCACAGTGTTAGTTCTATTCTGTAGAGTGTTAGTTCTAATCTGCACAGTGTTAGTTCTATTCTGTAGAGTGTTAGTTCTAATCTGCACAGTGTTAGTTCTATTCTGTAGAGTGTTAGTTCTAATCTGCACAGTGTTAGTTCTAATCTGTAGAGTGTTAGTTCTATTCTGCACAGTGTTAGTTCCGTTCTGTAGAGTGTTAGTTCTAATCTGCACAGTGTTAGTTCTATTCTGTAGAGTGTTAGTTCTAATCTGCACAGTGTTAGTTCTAATCTGTAGAGTGTTAGTTCTATTCTGCACAGTATTAGTTCATAACAAATTAGTTCTAATTTATACAAAGTTAGTTCTATTTTATAACAAGTTA